CCTCATTTCGCTCACTATATTGTAACATTCACTTTATTGTGGCAGATTAGAACCAAACCTGCAATATTTCCAAGATATGCCTGTACAGATTGATATCCTACAATCTAAGATATTGTATGGCACTTACATGTTTACATCATCCTCTCTCTTTTCAGACCTATTAGCTCCTTGAGGGCAAAAAAAGTTTTATGATATGAATATTTCTGGCATCTAATGATATTGTATAGAACCATGGTTAAAGCACAGACCCCCATAACTATCACTTGGGCTCAAGTGCTGGCTGTACAACATATTCTGTAGATGTAGAAATTAGAGAAGTTGTATAATACCTCAGTACCTCCATTTCCCTGTCTGTAATTTTACATTTGGGTTAAATAAATAGCCCCATTTGATAATATTATTATGAGGGTGAAATGAATTAATAAACTTAAGGCACTTAAGATAGTTTCTGGTACGTAGTTAATGCTATAGAAGGAGGAGTTAAAATTGAGGATCCATTGCCTAGCTCAAAATAATGCTACATTTATTGAATGAATGAATCATCTATGTGTAGTGACTTTAAAACTTTAAATTATGAAGAGATTTATGTGAGAGGGACATAGAAGCATGAGGCATTATCTTTACAATACAGAAGCAGAAACTATTTTTGAAATGAAAATGCTAGCATCCAATGTGATACTTTATATGAGGGAGGTCTCAAATCCATGGAACACATTCTAAATGATACCATTCAGAGAAAGTATAGTTCATTGACAGTAACTGAGAGTAATAGGGGAAGAAGAGGTATAGTTTGAGCTGGAATTTAAAGGATGCACAAAGAAGATGCCAGAGAAAAAGGTGGGAGAGGTGATCTAGAAATGATAGTGTGGTCTGTTTTTGAAACAGTGTGAGTAGCTTGACCGGGAACAGAGCTTTCAGTCTGAGATGTAGATTTAATAAAAACAGATTTTTAAAAAAAGATTTTATTTTTATTTATTTATTTGACAGAGAGAGAGAAAGAGAGCACAGGCAGAGTAGCAGGCAGAGAGAGAGGGAAAACAGGCTCCCACTGAGCAGGGATCCCAGGACCTTGGGATCATGACCTGAGCTGTAGGCAGTCACTTAACCAACCGAGCCACACAGGCGCCCCTAACAAAAAAAAAGAAAAGAAAAAAAACAAAAACACTTATTGTTCCAGCCACAGTGCTAGCTGTTTTCCTGTTACTTATAAGGAAAAATCTGGATAGATAGAGCAAGAATATAGAAATAAGGAGTTCTAAAGAAAACTGTAAGAGTGTAGATTTAATGTAGGTAAGGAATTTCGTGAAGAACCTAGTGTATAAAAAGATTATGATGTGGTGACGTTCAGCAGCATTTGAAGAAAGAAACGGTCTAGAATCAAGAGGACAGCTAAGACATAATACCTTTAATAAAATGCACTAAAACACATAGCACACCAGGTGCATTCATCCCAAGGCATTAGATTCCCTGTGTATACAATTTCCTAAAATACAGCTGGGCTTAACAATCTTTTCTAAATACATGGTGGAATATCTGGATTGGGGTGCAGGGGAAGATAACTACTTTAACAAGACATTTATATCCATACTTTTAACTGACACAATGTTACATTATTTACTTTTAGATTATGAAGGGGGATCATGAGGCTGACGAACATCTCTCTCCTCATGTTGCCGAATATCTGAAGATTTATCTACATTGATTACCTCATTGGAATTGAATAAAGTGTGGGAGGAGTTCCTATTTGAGTGTCATCAATATCAAAATATCTTTTGTTTAAACTCATGCTTTAATACTTTGTTTTAGTAACAGTCTTTATATGGAAGGACATCCTTTTTTGGAGGCATTTTCTTTGTATATTCCCCCAATTTCCCTGTAGTGGTTAAAAACATTCCAGCAACAAGAGATTGGATACAGTGATGCCAATAAGATGGGGAACAGAAAGCCCCAGACCCTCCTTTCACCCATGGAGACATTAATTCAACAATACAAGCACCAATTTTCTTTGTGTGAAATCCATAAACCCCTTAAGAGTCTCTTACACCCCAGGCAAGTAAAAAAAACCAAAAACAAAAACAAAAAAAACAGCCAAATTTAAGCTGGTGAGGAAAATTCTCCACCACCCCCACCCCCCTGCCCAGTGTAGTGCCACATGATCAAGAGAAAACTCCCAAATCATAGTTTCTCCCTGGGGAGGGAAAGAGAAGACTGGACCATACAGCCAGTGCTCTGTTTTTTTCAGAAGAATTAGAGACTGGCTTCTGTCTTGCCTACCTCTGAGTTTAGATGGGAACCAATATACTCTAGATGTCTGAAGGCCCCTGACAAAAATACTAGGGGAAGATGCTGTTACTCCATAGGGCCCAATGGTATAAGAGACAGAAGCCAATATAGCTCACTGACCTCCCCTCAGGAGAGACAATGAAGAATGGAGTGTACATATTCAATATTCTGGCTTTTCAGGGGACTCTTTAAAGAATCAGTCAGTGTCTAACCCAATTTTGGTCACTAAAGGAATCCACATACTCTATATGCAAGGCTTTGAGAACAAAAAATATAGGGCAGGATGTTGCTGCTTCAGAGTACCCGTGGTATGACAGATGGACACCAGAGGGAGCAAGAGATTATGATCTCTTAAAAAAAGAAACTGGCCAGATCCTTCTAAGTAATCTACAAAGACACATCCATAGAAAATGGTTTGCGGGGTGCCTGGGTAGCTCAGCTGGTTAAGCACCTGTCTCTTGGTTTGGGCTCAGGTTATGATCTCAGGGTTGTGAGATAGAACTGTGGGTCAGGCTCAGCACAGGGTCTGCTTAGGATTCTCTCTCTTCTTTCCCTCTGCCCCTCCCGCCACCCACATTCACTCTCAAATAAATAAATAAATAAACATCAATGTGAAAGAAAGAAAGAGAGGAAGGAAGGGTGGGAGGGGAAGGGAAGGGTAAGGAAGGGAAAGGAAGGAAAGGAAAGATTTGAAAGGTCCCTAGTATCTCCAGCTAGGATGATGGGTGAAGGTTTTCCCTTATTAAGTCTTTAAAGACTAGGAAAGGTGGCTGGGTTTTGTTTGTTTGTTTGTTTATTTTCCAAATAAGTGGACACCAATACAAAGTTACAAGGAACACAAAGAAAAACGGAAATGTAATCAATCAGAGGAGCAAAATAAATACTCAAGAAACAGACCCTAAAGAAAAGAAGATATATGAATTCCTAGACAAAAAGAAGATATGAATTAGTGGACAAAAAATTGAAAATGACAATCAAAAGGATGCTCAATGGGTTCAAGGAAGTGACACATGAACAAAATGAGAATGTCAATAAAGAGATGGAAAATATAAAAAAGAAAGAAATTTGGATCTGAAAAATGAAATAAATGAGCTGAAAAATTCAACAACTGACTTGAGAAAACAAAAGAATAAAAGGTCATTTGAAATTTTTCAGTCAGGAAAGCAAAAAGAAAAAAAAAGAATGAGTTAAAAAAAGGATAGAAAAGCTAAAGGACTTTGTAGAATACTGCCAAAAAGACCAATATACACAGTTTATGGGTGTCATTGAGGAAGAAGAAGAGGGAAAGGAAGGGAAAGAAAGTTTATTTGAAGAAATAGTGGCTGAAATTTTCCCAATTCTAGGGAAGGCAACAGATATCCAGATTCAAGAAACCCAATGATCCAAACTTTTGAATTTAAAGAGATTTATACTGTATAAACTACTTTTAATTTAGCACAAAAATTAAAAAAACAAAAAAGTTAATAATAATTAAAATGACAAAAATTTGTTAATGGATACATAATATAAAACAAAGCAAACCATGACGATAATAACATAAAGTGTGGTGAAGGGAAGTAAAATTGTAGAGTTTTTGTATGTGATTAAGCTTAAGTTGTTATCAGCTTAAAATAAACTGGATAGAAACAAAAAGGATCAAAAGATACTAGTATAAATAATTATACATCAACAAATTGATTTGTTAACGGATATCTGGAAGATACGGAAAAATTCTTAGAAACAAAAAACCTAATGAGATTGAATCATGAAGAAATAGAAAATATAAACAGATCAATAACAAAGAAAAAGATTAAATAAGTAATCAAAAATTTCCCAACAAAAGAAAGTCCAGGACCAGGTGGTTGCACTGGTGAATACTACCAAACATTTAAGAATTAATGTTAATTCCTCTCAAACTCTTCAAAAATCTAAAGCAGAAGGAATATTTCCAAACTCATTTCATAAGGCTAGCACTACACTGGTACCAGAGCCAGATAAGGCCATTATAAGAAAGGAAAACCGCAGACCAATAACCCTGATAAATATAGATGCAAAGACCTAAACAAAGTACTAGCAAACCAAATGCAGAGAGCATTAAAATGATTATACAAGGGGCACCTAGGTGCTTCAGTCTTTAATCGTCCACCTTTGGCTCAGGTCATGATCCCAGGGTCCTGGGATCAAGCCCCACACTGGGCTCTCTGCTCAGTGGGAAGCCTGCTTCTCCCTTTCCACTCCCCCTGCTTGTGTTCCCTCTCTTGCTTTGTCTGTCTCTGTCAAGGAAATAAAATAATATCCTAAATTAATTAATTAAAAAATGATTATACAAGACAACTGAGTCAGATTCATCCCTGGGAGGCAAAGATGGTTCAAAATACCCAGATCAATGAATGTGATATACCACATTAACACAATGAAAGCTAAAAATCACATGATCATCTCAATATAAATGCAAAAAATCATTTGAGAAAACAAAATGTTCCTTCATGGAATAATAAAAAAAAAAATCTCTCAACAAACAGTATAGAAGTCATGTACCTCAACATAATAAAGGCCATCTATGACAAGCTTACAGTTTACATCATACTCAACAGTGAAAGAGAGCTTTTCCTCTAAGATCAGGAACAAAGTAAGGATGCTCTTACTTGGGGGAATCCTTAGTAACCATGCCCATAGTAACCACCACTGGCTCCACCACCACGGCCATAACCACCCAAGTCATCAGGAGTACAACCATATCCTCCACTTAATTGTTACCCATTCCCATTCTTCCAACAGATCCGTAACCTCCCTGATTATCCATTCCATCTCTGCCGTAGCCTCCCATTCCAGAACCTCCCATTCCAGAACAGCCCCCAGGAGTAGAATTCAAGAAGAGTTCAATGTACCGATGTTGCATGTTATTCTTATCTTTAGACATGGCAGCTACAGCATCTTCATGTGTCACAAATTCTACATCTGCCTCTCCTGTTGCTCTGCCATCAGCTCCAATATCTATATGCACTCTTATTAGATTTAGTGGTGAGAAGAAATTAGCAATGTCATTTTCAGTTGCACGAAAAGGTAATCCCCTCATATGTACAAAATGACCACCATGAAAACTTGAACTTGCATCACCAGCTCCACCATAGCCATGCCCTTCCATACCTCTTCCATCTCTCATTCTGTCATCAAAGCCATCATTTCCGTAGCCATAATTATTATAGCCACCATAGTCATCAAAACCTCCATAACTTCCACACCCAGCTCCACAATAACCATCTCTTCCTCCTATCAGTCTATCATATGATCCTGGTCACTGGCCCAGCAATCTTCTTGGTGGATCATAAAATCCTTTGATTTTACTCCTGCCACTTCTGGAGGTCTCAATATATCTGTGCCCTATTCTTTCCTTGTGTTTCCCCAGAAAGTAAGGGCCCAAAGTAAGGGACTGTTCAATATGTAGTACTAGAAGCAATTAGGGAAGAAAAAGAAATGAAAAGCATTCAAATGAGAAATAAAAAAGTAAAACTGTCTCTATTTGTAAATGACATCATCTTATATAAAGAAAATACTAAAAAAATCCACCAAAACAATGCCAGAACTAATGAACAGATTCAGTAAAATTGCAGCATACAAACTGGCATGCAAAAAATTATTTAAAAATTGATTCCATATATAATAGCATTAAAAAAAAACTTCAGAATAAACCTAACTAAAGGGAGGAAAGACTCATCCACTAAAAACTATAATATATTGATGAAAGAAATTAAAGAAGACACAAATAAAAGATATCCCTTGCTCATGAATTAGAAAAGTTAATATTGTTAAAAAGTCCATACTACCCAAATAAATCTATATATTCAATCTATATCACATCAAACCTCAATGGCATATTTTACAGTAATAGAAAAAATAGTCCTAAAATTCATATGGAACCAGAAAGTATCACAAATAGCCAAAACAATATTGCAAAAGAACAAAGCTGGAGAATCTCACTTCCTGGTTTTAAAATATATATCAAAGCTTCCATGACTAAAACATAATGGTAATTGCATAAAAAATAGACAAATAAACTAATGGAATGGAATAGAAAGCCTAAAATGAATTCAGGTATGCAGAGTCAATTGATCTTCAACAAGGGTGACAAGAATACATAATGGGAAAAGAATAATCTCTGCAACAAATGCTGTTAGGAAAACTGGACATCCACATAAAAAAGAATGAAACTGTATTCTTATCTTACACCATAAAAAAATGAATTAAAGACTTAACTGTAAGTCTGAAACTGTGAAACTTATGTTAGAAAACACAGGGAAAAGGCTTCCTGACATTGGTCTTGGCAATAATTTCTTGGGTATGACATCAAACACACAGGCAATAAAAAGAAAATAAACAAGTGGAACTGCTCAAACCACTTCTGCACAGCAAAGGAAATAATCAACACAATGAAAAGATAACATTATAAAAACAAACAAAGATAAAAGTATTGGCAAGAGTGTGGAGAAACTGGAAACTCTGTACATTGTTAGTAATGTAAAATGGTACAGTCAATATGGAAGACACTATGGAAGTTCTTCAAAAAATTAAAACTAAGCTACTATATGATCCAGCAACCTCATTTCTAAATATATATCCAAAAGAACTGAAATCAGAATCTAAAAGAGATATTTGCATCTCCATGTTAATTGCATTATTCATAACAGCTATGAAGTGGAAACAACAATGTCCATCAACAGAGCAATGGATAAAGAAAATGTGTTATATGCATGCAGTGGACTATTATTCAGCCACAAAAAAGGAAATCCTGTCACATACTACAATAAAGATTAATCCGGAGGACTCTATGCTAAGAAAGTAAGTCAGTCACTGAAAGACAAATATTACATGATTCTACTTATCTAAACTAGCCAAACTCACTGCAGTAGAAAATAGAATGGAGGTTTCTAGGAGCTATGGGAAAAGGAAAATAAGAAGCTGCCATTAACTAAGTATAAATTTTCAATCATACAAGATAAAAAAAAGTTCTAGACATCTGCACAACACTGTAATTATAATTAATAATACTTTACTATTCACTTAAAGATTTATTAGGGTGGATTTCATATTATGTGTTTTCTACCACAACAAAAAAAGAGAGAAAATACTTGAGTGAAAACTAAAACCTTGAGGAAGTTTATAAGTGCAAATTTCTATATCTCGAAAGTGAAATAGTTAATTCAGCACCTTATAGATAATGTCAGTTATCCAGGTTCTTAGGGTTTTGTTTTGTTTTGGTACTGCAATCCTGAACATATTGGTTTGGAATCTAGGTTGTTTCTTTAAGATCGCAGGACAGCATGACATTTTCAGGTATTAAATCCAGTTGTGGCATCTGGCTTAGGAAAGTCTCTCATAGGCCTTTCTTGTTTGAAAAGAAATCATTTTCCAGAGTGCATGCCTCAGATTTCCAAAGTCTTATTTGCCAGTAGAGGACTATATGCCACATGCTTTTGCCTTAGCTTCAAGACTGCCTTGGAAAGTGAGTACCTGGCAATTTCAGACTCTCTGCAGACAGACAGTATCTTCCAGTCAGTAAAACAAAATAAAATAATTAAAATTAAATAATTAATTGATTTCAAAAAGAAAAGGGAAAAGAAATGGGAGATTGAGAATCATGATTGGGTAGAGTTGGCAACCAATTCTACTACATACTTCTTACCCTGTGCCATCTTCCACAAAGTAAGATTAAATATTTATAATCTACCAATTATTCTATGGGTTAAGCCTTCAAATTTACTTATACTAAAAATGTAAAAATAAAATGTGTTTTGCATATTTCTTATTAGAACATCTGATCTCTAAACCTGTTACTGCAGAAAGTAGCAGGGAAAATGAAACAAAATGTAAGATTCTGTCAACCCTGTTAACTTTAGCCTAAAGAAATAAACTTTCTTTTTACGTGATTTCTGCTTGCTAACCTCAAGCACTTTATCAGTATTTCAATTTTCCACCCATGCTTCATCATTTCTAAGCATTCCTTAGTATATACATTGTAGAAAGAATTACAAAGATGGCTTTAGTTGGAAGGAAATGAATCTTGTGGTTCTGGGATTTTCATCTGCATGGGCCCCTGGCAAGGATTTACAATTTTGGATTCTTTTTCTTAAAGAATACCTCCAAAATTATATAAGCATTAGGATCTCTCTCTCTCTATCTCTCTCTCAAATATATAAATAATGTTAAAAAAGCAATAACTTTGAAACTTTTTCAAACTGGTGACAATAAATGATAAACCAGAATAAATGTGTGTATATGTGTGTGTGTAAACCAATTTGAAACAATGGTTTTATAAGCAATCTTGCCAATCTTGCCTTTACAATGTGCATAACATTATTTTTTAATCTAGTCTCTTCCATTTTTTTTGAAAATGCTGGTTATGACCAGAAAATTGACTTTAAGATTTACTGATGGGTCTCTCCTATGATTTGAAAACCATATCATCCTACTACCAAAGATCAACAAGGTGCATAATTTAGCTGTCATTAGAATACACTATCATATAATAGATCACCAGATCTAGGCTTTGATATACTACTATACAAGGATCAGACAAGTTTTCAAAAAATCATTTTTACAAAATCCTCAACACCTGCCATTAACAGATATGATATTGCTAAAAGAGAAAAAAAATAAAAGTATTGAGATTCAAAATATTTTTATCCCAAATCAGAGGTCAACAAAATTTTTCTTAAAGGTCCAGCTAGTAAATATATTAGACTTTATAAGCCATTCCTCGGTTACAACTCCCAACTCTGTCCTTGTAGCATGAATGCAGCCAGAGATTATATAAACAAATGATTGTTGCTGTGTTCTAACAAAACTTCATTTAACAAAACAAAATAATTTGTCAGTCCTTGTTCTCAACAGAAGTATCTTATTTGTTTCTCTCATGATAACATACTTTGTGATTATTTGTTCATTTGTGGATTTCCCTGTTTTCATACGCTCTCCCCACTAAACTCCAAACTCCACGAGAGTACAGTCCTCCTTTGCTTTTTATCTTTGCATCCCCAGTGCCCAGCCAATAATAAAGACTCAAATATTTACTATATCTCTTGTCAACTTCCAAAAAGGCTAGCAGAATGCTGATTAAGTAGAGTTAGGATTATTTAATTTATGTAATAAAGGACAACACCACATAGAGTCTTAGCAGTCCTTCCCATAGACATAAAGAGAAGATATTTATTTACAGGTTTTAATATTAAAAATAAAGCTGCTATGAACCTCAATGTACAGGTTTTTGTATGAACAGAGGTTTTCATTTCTCAGGGAAATGTCCAACAGTGTCATCTGGGTTGTACGGTTAATTTTATAAGGAACTTGTAAAATATTTTTAATAATGACTATGTCATTCTACAATTCCATCAGCCCGCTTACAGGAAACTTAGTCTCTTCACACACTCTCCAGCGGTTGGTATTTTCATTATATTTTAACATTTCTAGTGGATGTATAGTAACATCTCATCATGGTTTAATTTGCATGTACCTAATGGCTAATGAGGCTGAACATCTTTTCATGGATCTTATAAAGTGCAGAATTGGTTAAGATTGAACAGATTATGACAGAATTTATAGCTTTGGATTGATGGACCCAACAAAGCCTGAGTCTTGAAACAGAATATTGATACGGAAATATTTCAGTTAGTTCACAGTCTTGAGTTTCATAAACCCATTACAAAAAAGACAAGAAGGATGTTTCTTCTCAAACACTGGATCAGAAAAGTATGTTCAGTGTAGATAGAGAAGAGAATATTGTTACTATTTCTAATTAATTGAATGGATATTTGAATGTCACTAATTATTTTTAATTTAACTTATTTTTTCTTACATAGCAGCATATATGTAATTAGTAGTCTAAATTAAATTAAATTCAACCATTTGGAAATTAAAGTAGTAAATAATGAAGATACACCCTATACATGGTCCCTCAGAGGCAAATAGGACACCATAAAAACCATTACTTTTCTTAATTTTTTAGTTTAGTTTGCTCTTATAAATAATGAGGCAAAGTTCAAGCTTCCCAATGGATAAATATGATGATGATCAAATGAGATACTATAAAAGATAACTTCTGTACATGAGTACTAAACTATGTTATATATACAAAAATATATTATGTATAATATATGTTATATACTTTATCATATATATATATGTATTATAATACCTATATAAAATATATGTTATCAGTAGTTTTTAGAAAGACTCCTTTTTTTGGTACAGCGTAGCAGTCAACAAATA